TTAAAATTCTAAAAAGCAAGGTGGTACTCTAATATCGTCTAATTATTAACACTAATTATACTTAAAGTCTTCCTCCCTTCTGGTTAATGTTTGAGGGGAGATACAGTCGAAATCAAGGTGTAGCAAAGCCTTAGATCGTCTTGCTATAATCGCATATTTCTTAACATTGTCTATATCGTCATTAAGTTGAGGAACCAACGTGTTCCAAACTATTGCTCCTCTACGAGCTACAGAGTTCCTCATGTAGTAGGTGTTAAAACGAGGGACATCAATTTTCAGTTTCTTCCTAAGTTGATATCGATTGATGTTATCATTGTTCTTAATAATAGCTGACATAGCGTCTGGAGTCAGGTTATTATGGATTTTATACATAAGCTTAGCTAAGCTAATTTTATACATAAAGGCTAAAGGGGACCAATTAGCCTTTTCCATAACATCAGCATTAGACATCTCCCAAGGAAGCTCAAAGATAATTCTCGCAGCTCTACAATGCAGTGCTTCTAATGCCTTAAAACCTTCCTTATTTCTGAGACCTCCTTATACTGATATTCCATAAACGATCGACGGCCTAATAACTCTAAAATACAAGTCTAATAACATATTCTTTGAAAGAAATTTTCTACGTTTTAACAAGTTTAACTTATCAACAAAACCTTTTTTAACAACACTAACATGTTTAGACCAATTTAAGTGAACATCTATCAAAAAGCCTGACAGACGAGAGTGTGTAACCCATTTGATGGTGTGCTAGGCCAACGTTAACTCTTTCAATGGGCCAGTGAATCTTCCACGATGGAGGATTAATGATGTAGGACATTGGCTTGGGTTTTACTAATGAAATACGAACAGTACCACAGAAGGTAACAGTCAGTTCAGGCAACTGTATGGCTTGCTTGGCTTCTTCTTTCTCCCACTTGTTAGATCAGATAACGCATAAAAACCAATTGATTACGAAGGGCTACGAGACACCCCATGTTAATAGGAATTACGCCACTTGCGATTGATTAACGAAAGCTTTACGTGTTTTTCGAAATATATGGCTTATCACAACTTTAGGTAAAATAGTATTAATATGTCTGGATAAATTGTTGCTAGCTTCAGAACAACTCTTATTTCAGTCTAGAAAAGTTTAGCTTCACGCAAACTTTACACTGAACGTAAATCTGGCTCTTCAGCTTTACGATACCTTTACGAGAGCTTTAAGTCCGATTACGTAAATCTACCTTTAAGCGTCTTTACGAACATTATGATACTAGAGTAAAGTTACTTAACGAACTTTAAGCAGATTTACGCAACTTTGATTTTGCGTAAATCTCCTTTTTCATGCTCTGCTGGAATCAGGTGCCTTAGTTCACAACGTATCATCAAGGGAAGTAACTCTAAATAATAATGATACTTAACTGACAGAAGAGATATCGAATTTAGACTTGTTTTGTGCGATTTTGTTAAAAAGCATAATTGAATAAAAAAAAGACACGAACAATTTTGAGCATAATCTGGAAAAAAAATCTGGTAATGTTAGCAGCATAATTTTCTAATTTTACTAGCACAGTCTATAAAGGCTTCTGGAGGGAGTGAAGAGGTTGAATTAAAATTGGAGACCAGAAAGTAATGAGACGAGGTTGCTTATTTACAATAGGTAACTAATTGATTTTAGACTGCATTTCACCAGGAAAAAGATTGTGAATAAGGAAATCGATAACTAGGTGCCCTGTTGGTGTAAGAGCACAATTAAAAGTCCTTACAACTATCATTTACTAATGGTTTCCCTTGATAGCGAGGCTCATTCTGCGCTGTTGAGACATTTGACCAAAAGAACCATCGTCCCATCACGTCCCTTGTTACCGTAAATAAGACATTTGAGCATATGCTCAGTAGGCCAATCACCGGGCACTATGATCCAACTCTCTATCAGAGAATGACAGCTTATAGAAGACATCATAGCTGTCAGACCACTCTACTTAGACTCGTGGAAGACTGGAAATCAGCTGTTGACAGAAAGGAACTGGTGTACATACTGTCTACTGACTTGAGTAAAGCCTTTGACTCTCTTAGCCATTCTCTAATCGTAAAGAAACTCGAGGCCTATGGCATTGGAGAAAATTCTCTCAACCTTCTTAGATCACACTTTGACAATAGGCTCAATAGAGTGAAAATAAAAGGAGTGACAAGTGGCTGGAAAAGGATGGTGCTAGGCTGCCCGCAAGGCTTGTCCTTTGGCCCCCTTCTGTGGAATTTGTTCCGAAATGATATGTCATTTCATATAAATAATGCTAATTTCAGCATGTACTGCCGACGACCATCAGATGTATGTCACGGGGAAGAAGCATGACGTTGTCGCGCAAAGTATCAAGATACATGGAGAGAAAGCTCTATCATGGTACAAGAACAACTATCTCTCAACCAACCCAGAAAAGTTCCAGCTATTAACGATCAACCCGAGAAATGTTGACAAAGACAACGATAATCAAAATTTTTCTGTTGATGGTCATACTATTAAGAGAATGGGGGAAATACGGCTTTTAGGAGTTCAAATCGATGAAAAATTGAGTTTTACTAGTCATATCAGTGATCTATGCTCTAAGGCCAGTCAAAAAGTAGGGGTCCTAGTGCGGCTACGCAATTTGATACCCTGTAATGCTAAACTATCACTTTACAGGTCTTCAATTCTGCCCCATCTAACCTACTGTCATCTAGTATGGCACTTTTGTAATGCATCGGATCGGAGAAAGCTTGAGCGGATTCAGGAGCGAGCACTTAGGGCGGTGTACAAAACTAGATCAGCGTCCTATCAAGAACTGCTAAGTCGCGCCAAACTACCGACGTTG